GAACCCTGAAAGCCTGCAGCTGCCCCACCCCCATTTATAATTTATAGCCAAGCTGACCTCAGACCAAAGTAGATCCTCCTGCCTCAGCCTCCCAAGTACTGGGATTACTGGTGTGCACCACCATACCCATCTCCAAGGCATTGCTAATGTCCAGCCAGGGCCCGGGGAAGGGTGACACAGCACCGGCTTCAGGCCCCGGCAGCGCTGGGCTGGGCCAGGCAGAGCCAGCAGGAGCCAGGGATGGGGCCGTGAGAGTTCTAGGAGCAGACAAGGGTGAGCTGTGGGGCGCCCTCTGCACTGCAGCCCAGCTTCAGAGCTGCGTTCAGCCCGAGTCCAGGGCTCAGGGGCCAGGGAAGGATGCAGCGCTCACAGGGACAGGGTGGCCACTTCGTGCTGTCTCCAAAATGCACCAAGGCGGAAGCTGGGAGCCGCGTCAGCCTCCCAGGTGCAGGAATTACAGGTGTGCACCACCGCACCCGGCTGCAGACCCTTTGCTCTTGATAAAAGGGCAACCCAGATGCAGTCGCCGGGCATGACCTCCATGGACAAAATCTGCAGACCATGGCAGAGCTACGCACCTGTGCCCAGCGGCCAGCAGTGCCACCCAGAGCGCTACCGGGCTGAGCCATCACTGCTGGAGGACATGGTGTGTCCTGTCACACACAGAAAATCTGCCGGGCGCCACCCAAATCCCGGCAGGACCCCCCGGTGGGGTGGGTCACTCAGTGTCTTTTTGCTTCCTTGTTTGTGGTTTCTGTCTCATTTTATCATGCTGCGTTGGTCAGCCTGGCATCGGCACTCTGGGAGGCTGAGGCAGGAGATGACAGAGTGTCCTTCAGCCCCATAAGGGTGCCATTCGCACAGGGCAGAACCCAGGGAGTCAACGCTGTCCCCCTGGCCGGATCCCTCACCCGGGACCGGCAGCATGACAGCTCCAGCCCCTGCAGGAGGCATGTAGGAGCCCCTCCACCTCTCCCGGAGGCTGCCACTCGGTAGGAGTTAACTGTGCATCCACTAACTGCATGCAGATCTCTGCTTGAAAGGCCTTAGGGTCCAGCTGCTCAGCCTGCTGTGCTCCAGGCGGGAACCAGGCCTGGATCGGGCCCGGCTTGGAGCAGGGATCCATCAGGGCTCCTACCGCTCTGGGGAGATGCCCACCTGGCTGCCCCTCTCTGCTCACTGCAGAGACCCAATGGACAGCAGAGACCTGAGGGCTGGATTTAAGACCCACACCTGTCAGCCCGGCACTCAGAAAGGCTGAGGCAGGAGGATCCCAAGGTAAGCTCAGCCTAGGCAACTTAAATACTGGCTTTAAAATAAAAAGGGCTTTCAAGAGGCTGAGGCGAGAGGATTAAGCTCCAGACCAGCCTGGGCAATTGGCAATGTAGTGAGTCCCTGTTTCAATACAAAAATCCACATATAGGAAGAGTTAAAAGAGACAGGACGCCGCTGGCCCTGGGCTCAGGCCCAGTAGAGCAACCAATCACCAATCAATAACCAGGCCAGTCAGGAGCAAACTAACACAAGTCCCTGGAAGCCCTGGGTGCTGGGCGCAGCTGCAGGAGCACCTGGGCTCCAGGGAGCCAGGAGCCAACCCTGAGTCCATGGCACTGCACGAACCTCAGCTCTTGTTCATTCCGAGGCAGGATCTCGCTAAGCTGCCAGGGCTGGCTGGGACTTTCCATCCTCCTGCCTCAGCCTCCTGCCCTGCTGGGATGACAGGCCAGAGTCCCACGCCCAGCTGTAAACTCAGATGTCAGCCGGGTCCTCCTCCCTCCTGCCTGACCACCTCTCCAGCACTCTGCAGCCTTGTGTCTTAGTTTAAATTCCCCATTCTTTCCCAATTTTTGCCAAAGAAAAGGAGCTTCTACCGGACGTGGTGGCTCACACCTGTAATCCCAGCACTCGGGAGGCTGAGGTGGGAGGATTGTTGCAAGTTCAACACCAGCCTGGGCTACAAAAAGTGAGCTCAAGTTCAGCCGGAACTGCATAGCGAGACCATGTCTCAAAAAAGACAAAAAAAAAAAAAAAAAAGAAAAGGAGCTTCCATGACACAGGCATAAGCAAATTAAACATAGGATTCATCACCATTTCCCTCGATCCAGAGGCCATGCATCCAGTCCATTTGCTCAGATGGAGTCCTGCTGGCCCGCATCAATAGTCAACCTTGTCTTTGCATTGGTAATAGTCACTCAACAAACATTGAACAGTAACTATGATTTTCACAGTCCTGATACATACATATCAGGTGACCCGAGGTTCCTAGTGCCTGGTGAGGAGTCTGGCCCAGGGAACACGATAAGAGTCTATAAAAGACTTCCTGAAATCCCAGCACTCAGGAGGCTGAGGCAGGAGGGTTCCAATTGGAGCCTAACCCAGTTATCCTAGTGGTTTAGTATGAGACACTGCCTCAAGATATCAAATAAGTTCTAAGAAGGGCTGGGGATGCAGCTCAGCATGAGAGGCCTTTGTTCAATCCCCAGTGCTGAGAGAAAAGGTTTTGCTCATTTCCAGCATGGTGGCATAGGTGAGCTTGGAACAGACCTGTGAGACCCAGTCACGGGTTCTGAGGGAAGAGCTGGTGGGCAAAGGCTTGAAACCTTGAGGCACTAACACTGCAGATGCTGCAGACCCCCCGAAGCCCGGCCTTCCCAGGGATTGGGGCGGTCTCGATATGCAGCTCAGACTGACCTTGAACTCCCTGCAAGGGATCCTCCTGCCTCAGCCTTCATGCCTGCTGTTTACTACGGGTATTCATGCTGCATTCACAAGGAAGCCAGGGTTGGGGTAGTTTCATCTCTGGGGTTCAGAGGTCTTCAGCACACCTGGAATGTGCTCAGCTCAGGTTGCCCCCACCCTGCCCCGTGAACCCCGGCTGACAGCCAGGCATGAGGCAAACGCCTAGGATCCGAGTACTCCGGAGGCTGAGGCAGGGGTCTCTAATTCAGCCTGGGCAACTCAGCGACTTACAGAGACCCTACCTCCAAATAAAAAGTGAAAAAGACCCGAGGCCACAGCCCAGGGAGAAAGAGGCAGGTCAGTCTCCCGCTGGCTCGGAGCTGGGGGGCGGGGGGCAGCTCTCTGCCGCCTAGCTGGAAGGATTCAAGGCAGAAAGCAAGTGAAATGTGGCCAGAACAGGTCAGAGGGCAGATGAAGGGTGGTGGGCGGGGAGGATCAGGTCATCAGGGCCGTCCACACACAGGACTTCCAGGGCCCCTGTCCCTCTGCAGCAGCGTCCTTCGGCCAGCTGTAGGGCTCTCGGATTCATTCACCTCCACCACGGTCACCATCCTGGAACTCTCAGGAAGCTGAGGCAGGAGGATCGCTGTGAGTCGGAGGGCAGCCTGGGCTGCATATCGAGGCTTCATCTCAAAAGAATCAGACCCAGGGCTCAGTCCGACATAGTTACTTGATACATGACAGCAGGTTCACTCAGGTCACCACGGCCGGCTCAGGAAAGGCACCGCACGCCTTTTCCACAGCCATGCTCTCGTCTTTAGTGCACATTCCTGAGCTACTGAAGGCAAAATTAATGTTATGTCACAGAAAGAGCGTTTTAAAAGGAGGCTCAGCTAAAAATGAACAGCTCTGTTAAGGCTTAGAAAGAACAAGGATGGGCACCAGCAAGGCTGGGGGCTCGGGACTTGGCCGTCTGAGTCGCCCCTAAACCAGAGCCAAAGTGGAGAAGGCAGGACGGCAGGCAGCCACCCCTTCACTAGGGGCTTGCCTCACCTGACCCAGGAGTCCTGCCTGGACCAGGGCAGCCCCAGGAGTCACTGACCAGGCCTCCTCAGGGGTCCCAGGCGCAGCTGCACCTAAGGTCAGCCCCCTGGAGGCCTCTACCCTGCAAGTGGTCAGTCAAGGACCATGGCCAGGCGGAGGCGCTCCAGGAGGCTGAGGCAGGAGGATTGCGTTTGGCCTACAGTGAGTTCCAGCCTCCACGACATGGCGAGACTGTCAAAAGCCAGAACAAAAGATGGTTCCAGGCTGCAGCCTGGGAACCAGAAGGGACATTAAAGAGCCATTACATGGCTCATCAGAGACACCACGGTGGCACCCGAGGTCCTTGGCTATGAATTCCCACAAACCAGGACAGCCCACCACTCCTGGGTCCCTGTCAGTGCCCCAAGTGTGGCCAGGTGTGCAGAGGTGCCGACCCTGGACTGTCATCTCCAGTGAAGCAAATGAAACCCTGCAGAAACCACCAAGTCCAAGCACCAGGAGCCGTAGATAACCCTGCTGGAACCCTGCAGGCTGAGGCAGGGCGATCCCCTCCCACAGACAGGAACTTTGCCTTGGCTCCTTCCCGCTTGCCATGGAGCGCACTAGCCACACAGGGACAAACCCAAGGGGAGCATGGGCTCACATGGGCGCCCGGGGATCGGCTAATGCTTCACCCACAGTTTTGCACTGGGAATGGTGCTGCGGGTCTGCAATCCCTACACTCTAGGAGGCCGAGGCATGAAGACTGCAATCCAAACACGGAAAGGCTGAGAGAAAAAAAGGGAACACTCTTTGGATTCGTGCCTCAGTGAGGCAAATATCTTAGAACTCTTTTTGGTAATGACAAATATTAGCCATGCCAAATATGGGGGTCCCAGCTTTCATTTTAATCCAGGCCCACGAATATAGAAGGAAGTACCTTCGGGCTGGGCCTGGCGATGCACACCAGCACTCTGGAGGCTGAAGCAGGAGGATCCTATCAGCCCCGGCTACACAGTGAGAGTGAGTCCAAGACCAACCTAAACTACTGAATTCCTCAAGCCCAAACAAGCCACCCCCAGCCAGGGTGGTAGGAGTGTCAGATGTCCTAGCCGTAGCCATGGTTGGTGATGTGTACCCCAGGACTCAGGAGGCTGAGGCAGGAGGATCACCGTGAATTGGAAACCAGACTGTACTATATGTAGTGAGACTCTGCCCCAAAGAACAAAAATGTCGAGGTCCCTTCTGGACATGAGGCTGCCTCTGAAAGCTGCTGCTCAGTAAGGAAAACACCTGAGTTGCATCATTTAATTGCTATTTATTTTCATAAACATGAGGTATTTCAAAGTGCTATAAGATGCAGCACCAAATATATACACTGAAGAAATTCCACACAGAACTCTGCATTTCCCAGTTCTATGCACTGAACATGAACAAATACATTAACATGGGGGATGGGGAGGACAAAAACAGGCTAGGAAAAAGGCATATATATATAGTAAATTTCTTTACAAAAGTTTCTTAGTTCAAAAAGTGATAAAGTAATATCTACTCAAAACTCTCACACCTCATTTTCATACGAAAATATAAGTATCAAATGTAGTTATGTCTCAGCGTCATACTAAAGTATACAGGCAGTGTAGGAAGTTAGTACAGTACGAAACAGGGATTAACAACAGACCGTATACAAACCATGCCCCTCAAACATTGAGGTATCTTTACGGTTCTCCCGAGAGCCGCCCCGCCACCTCCTCACCAGGACAAGGCGGGGTCCACAGTATTTACATAGACATCCCAGGGCGCGCGTGGCTAGAGTTCAAGCACCATTGTAAAAGAAAGGAACCACGGTGACAGCAGTCCCAGACTGGGTCAAGACACGACGTCGCAGCCGCCGTAGTGGTGAACAGCAGAGGAGGCTCTCCTGGAGCCACCCAGTATCCTGGGAGAGAGCTCCTGGACATCCCACAGAACCCCAAAGGTCCTACTCCCCCAATCCAAACACGAAAGGAGGCCGACTGGAAAAAGTAAACCAACATTCTTAATGTCAACACAACGTTTAAAAATAAAAATCCAAATGTGCAAAAAGTGGCAGTGAGCGTGCGTCCATCCGTCCGTCAGTCCGTCCGTCCGCCTTTGGTGGTCGGAGGGAAGCCTAGCAAGTCCTGGCGAGCTCCACCCTCTTCAGCAGCTGCTGCCGCCGGGCCTGCAGTGCCGCCTTCTCCAGCAGCAGCTGCTGCTCGGCGGCCTGCAGGGCGCGCACGTGCTCGGTGGCCTTCTTTAGGATGACCACCTTGGCGGCCTTCTCGTTGTGCACCAGCTCCGGCACGTGGTCCCTGAGCGTCAGGAAGCTGGAGCGCAGGTCGTTGCGGCGCTGCCGCTCCAGGATATTGTGGTTGCGCCGGCGCTCGCTGTCCTCGGAGTCCGAGTTCCGCGGGCTCACGCTCTTGGACTTGGCCGGAGCCGCGCCCTTGAGGGGCCGCAGCCCTGCGTCGCCCTTGGGCTTCTTCTGCGGAGGCTCCTCGCTCTCCACAAAGGGAGAGGGCGCCGCGTAGTTGTGCTGCTGGTGGATCGGGGCGCAGCGCTTGAGGGTCAGCTCCCCGGGGACTGTGCGGCTCGGGACCCCGCCTGCGCCTGCGCCCGCGCCCTTGGGGCGCACAGTGATGGTGAAGGTGGTGCCCGCTTTGCTAATGGACGCACACCGCCGCTTCTCCACGGTGACCACGTCGATCTCCTCGTCTTCCTCCTCGTAGTCTTCGTCATCTTTGGGGAAAGAAGCCGGTTAGTATCAATCTCTGCAGCAAGCCGCCCACAGGCGCACTGATTTCCGACCTCTTTAATCCAGGGGCGGGGGTGAGGGGGAGCCAGATGCAGTGCCACACACCTGGCACCCCAGCGCTGGGGAGGCTGAGGCGGGAGGATCACCCAAGGCCAGCCTGGGCTACTTAGAGCACCTATCTCAGAAAACAAGAAACAAAAAACCCCAAAACAAAGAGCCTGCCTGGCAAGCGCATAGTCCTGAGTTTAATCCCTTGTACAAAAAAAAAAAAAAGCCCCCAAAAGACAAAAAAGTGAAAAACCAAAAGGCACATCTTTACAGAAATACAGTTTCCTTTGCAGAGTCCATGATGTTAGCAGATGGGAACTGGGGGTGCAGCCCATTAGCCAGGAACCTAGGAGGCCCTGGAGTGGAACCCACAAAATGACCCAAAAAAAAAACCCATTTTAGCAGATGACAGAAACCTAAAGCACGGGTGGATGGCTGGACCATCCTGGACACGGTACTCCAGCTTTGCACACCCCAGTTTCCTCAGCCATTCAAAAGGCGGAGCACGCCTGTGATCTCAGCACTCAAGAGGCTGAGGCAGGAGGGTCCCCAGGAGTCTGAGGCCAGCCTGGGCTAGAGAGAGAGGCGGGGGAGAGAGGGAGAGAGAGAGAGAGAGAGAGAGAGAGAGAGAGAGAGAGAGAGAGAGAGACCTTGTCTCAAAAAAATAAGTCAAAAATATACACCAGCACACCACACTACCGAGCCGATTTTCTGTCCTTAAACTGGAGATCCATCGGTTTCATTCACCTCGGGGGAGGAGGGGAGGGGGGAGGTGCTGAATTCCCTCGGTGGTGGGGCCACACACCTCGGCCACATTGCAGGGAGCAAGGCCACCGCCCACAGTAGCGATGCCCCCCCAGCTCCCGGGTCACCAGCGAGGCCCGCCGCCGGCCTCCCTTCCTCCCTCCCCCCACCGCGCGCGAACACGCAGCCACACCCCGCCCGGCCGGGCGGGCGCAGGCGCCGGGCCCTTTAAGCCAGGCTCTGGGGCCCTGCCAGGCAGACAGCTGTGGGAAGTAAACGCTTCCTCACTTCCTCACCTCCGCCGGGCGCAGACGTTAAAGGGCCAGGGCCCGCGGTCGCCGCCTCCCCAGCTTCCTGCAGGAGCGGTGGCGGAAACCCCACAGGCACAGTGCAAACAGCGGCCTCGGCTCAGAGCCCCGGATGCTGCTCCAAGGCCAGCGCGGCGGCCCCCGCGCCCCAGACCTCCGGCGAAGGCTCGGTTTAACCCTTGTTTTCCAGGGACGCGCACACAATGGCGCTCACCGAGCAGTCCTTGCGGAGCACCCGCATTCCTAAAGGGCTGCCGGATGCTCGCTTGCACTTGCCAGAAGCGCGGATCTCCAGACAGACCAGGAATTAGGGCCACACCACACAGCCCAACGCTGGAACGAGGCAGCCCCGGAGAATGGGCACGAGCGAAGGCGCAGCGGCAGCCAGCTCAGGACGGGAGGGCGGGAGGGAGAAAGGAACGGTGGCCCGGCTCCTGCGCGAGTAAACAGCCCACCACCCACGGAGGGCGGGGGAGGGGCGCGCCCACACTGGCAACAAAATGCAAAAAGGAAAAACCCGCAGCACAATCTGTGCAGTCTCTCCAACTTCCTGCGCCCGGAATAGGGTCTGCACCGCCCTGGTCCTTCAGGGGCCTCTCCCCCTTCTCTGCCCTGCGCCGGAGTCCCTTCCCAACGGGGCCTTGCGCTCAGGGTGGGGGACAGGGTGAGGCCCCGAGCTAGGCTTCCTGAAGCTGGGGCTGAGACTAGCAAGGTGGGAACCTCTGGGCACCGCCGCCACTGCGCCCTAGCGCCAACAAAGGCGGGCGCGCGCCCTGCGCCCGGAGAGGTGTGCAAGGGACCAGCTGGGCTTACCCGAGTCGCTCAGTGTGTCCTCGCTGGAGGTGCTGGGCGCCGCCGTGGAGTCCGCGCGGTCTTCGGAGCTGGGGGAAGCGGACTCTGGAGCTGCAGCTACCGCGGGGGTCCCGGCGACCACCGTGGCTACGCCTGGCACGGAGGTCCCGGCCGGGGCGGTAGGCTCGGGCTCGCGGGTGGTCGCCCGGAACGGGAAGACCACTGCAGGGTCCACGCAGTCAGCAGCGCCCCCGGGGCGCGCTCCCGGGGGTCCCGGGGCGGCGGGAGCTGGGGCCGGGGGCGCGCGGCCGAGCTGCAGTTTCTCGCTCACCGCGCGCTCCAGCTTCTCGCGCGCCGAGAAGCCACTCCACATGCAATCCTGCAGGATGACGGGGTTCGGGGTGAGGCGGCTCAGCTCCCCCAGGCCGAACGCCTCCTCCTCCGCCGGGTCGCCCCACAGGCCGGGCTCGCACAGCAGCATCTCGGTGGCCCAGTCCGCGGGCTCCGGGAATGCGCGGCTCGGCGACAGCGGCGGCGTGGGGAGCAGCTGGAACTTCTTCCAGATGTCCTCGCCCGGCGGCGTGGAGTCAGGGCCACCAAAGTAGAAGTCATCCTCGTCCGGGAGAAAGCAGGGCTGTAGAGAGTCGAACTCGAGGTCCGGGTTCTTGCGGATCATGCCCGGCATGTCGTGTGGGACGGAGCCGGTCAGCGGCGGCCGGCAGCACCCACTGCACCCGCGGACTCCGTCGCTCCCCAGACCTGCAGGCGACAGGCACGGCGCGGTGGGCCGGGGCGCCCCCCGCGAGCGCCCCTCTGCGCGCCCCGAGCTCCTGGAGGTGCAGGAAGTCCTGCCCCGCGCTCGCTCTTCTTTTGTGTACAAGCTGTCTACACTCGGGGCGGGAGGGGCGTGCGGAGCCAGGGGGTGGGGTGGCCCTGCAACTTTGCAAACTGCCGCTCCATTCACACAAGGCCCGCCGGGGGAGGGGGCTGCTGTCGCTGCAGAACCGAGCTCCGAGCTCCCCGCTTGCACCCTGCTTGCTCCGGGGCCAGGCCGCCGCGCCAGGGGTGCGAACCCCCAGCCGACAGCCGAGTAGGGGGTTCACAGGCTCAACCCTCCTCCAACTGCCCTTTTGTAAAAATGCAACCTCCAAAGTGCAAACGCCAGGAAGGGGGTAGCAAACTTTGCAAAGGCAAAGAAGCTCAAGAGACAGCTTTCCAACGGGCACCCCCAAACCCACCCCAAACACACACTCTGCGTATGCGGCCGCCCTCCGGCAACCACCCGTTGCACGGATAATCCGGCCAGCAGCTTATTTTGCATCCCTCCAACTCCATTACCTTCTCCCCCAGGTCCCCAGCAATGACCCCTTCCCGGGAGCGCGCGAGCGAGGCGCATCCCCGACCTGGGAACGGCGGGGGGACAGCCACGAACCCTGCAAGGCGTGACCCAGATTGCGCCGCCTCGCCTTGCCACTTTTCCCTCCCTTCCTCGATGCCACCATTTGGGCTTGAGCCCCAGCTCGGATGGGAACGCATGGAGTCCCCGCCGGCTCCAAACCGGACGGTCTCGGGCGCATCGCTTTCCGCCAGAGCCACGGCATTCTCCCCGGCAAAGCTGGGGAAGGATTAGGGCGGGTCTGTTCCCCCAGGTGCCCGCGGAGCCGGGCTGGCTACCCTGGAGCCCGAAAGGTTTTGCTTCGGGGGCAGCACGCGCCTTCGATCCTTACCTCCCAGGCCGCGCGCGGGGTCTCGGGGGCCGCGATCCGTGAGCTGCGCTGCGCGCGCCCTGCGCCCTCTGGACTCCAAAGCGGTCCCCGGAGCCCCCGCACAGACAGATGACTGTCACTGACTGCGCTTTGAAGCTTGGGGGATATTATTAACTGAAAAATCTGACACACCCGGGAGGCGGGGAGAGAAGGGGGCTGTGGCGCAGGCCAGGGGGAGGGGGCGAGGCGGCGGCGAGCGGCTCCACCCCGCCCTCTCGATTTCCATAAAAATCAGGGGAGGCGCCAAGGCTTTGGCGCCAAAAGCCACTTGCTTTTCTTCTTAGCAGAGGCTGCGACGCTGGCGAGCCGGGTGAGCTCCTCCCGCCCTTTTGGAGCCCCGGGTTTGCAGCCGGTGCGCTCTGCTAACCAGTTGCGCGCCAAGCAGTGCACGCGGCAGCGCTCCCCGGCCCTGGCGACCGCTGGGCGCTGCAAGAATAAAACGCCGCACATCGCTCCAGGAGCGCTGGGGTTCGCGAGGAAAGGGACAGGGGAGAAGGGGTGCAGAGGGCGTGCTCATGAGGCCCAAACCCCCAGACGGGATCAGGGCTCGCCGGCCAGGGAAAGGGCGTCCCCGCTTGAACATGAAGACGTACGGGCCACACGGGTGGCACCGGCCGCGGGTTTCGTCGGCCGAAGGCGACACCTCGCGGAGACGGAGCAGAAAGCGGAGCCGGAGTTGGGCGGCCACCTCGGACGCATAGCGGAGCCTCGTCCTGGAGCCCGCGCCGCCGCGGCTGTCCCAGCTCCCAGGGACCCGAAACTCCGGAAGCTGGTGTGGGCGGGGAGGCAACACCAACGCTGGGAGCCCTGCATGAAGGAAAGCCTCGTGCCTCAGTTTCCTCGATGGCAAAGGCGCTGCCTCTTTGGGCTGTTCTAAAACATCACAGAGGCCCAGCACGCTATTAGGATAAAGGTCAGCTATCATCATTCAGCACCAGAGCAGGGGAGAATCTTCAGGGAAATGTACACCCCCGCCCCTGCAGGCTTGCAATCGCGCCTCCGGCTAGGCCTGCCACCAAATCTTCACTTCCATCAGATTTTCTTGGCCGTCTTTAGGAATAATGAGGTGAAATAAAGATTATTTCCCCCCAGAGATTGGTGTGATGGCGCACGCCTGTAATTTCACTATTCTGCGAGGTTGAGGCAAGAGGATCTCAATTTCAAACCCAACCTGGGCAATTTAGACTCAGTATCAGTGATATAGCTCGGCAGCACACAGCGAGCGCCTGCCTGGCAAGCACAAGGTCCTGGGTTCTATTCATAGTACAAAAAAAAAAAAAAAAAAAGTAAATGAAATTTTAAAAGACTGGAATGTTGCTCAGGGGGAAAGCCCTGGATTCAGTCTTCAATACCAGGGAGGAAAGGATTGCTCCAGCGCATCAGAATACCCAGAGGGGTGGGTCGGGGGATCGCCCTAGGGGCTGGCCAAGTGACCTCCCTGGGGCCAGCCCCAACAGACTTCCGAGCAGTGAGGCTTCACACTGGCAAATCTCATCCTGGGTGCCCCAGCGCTTCGCTTGAACTGCAGATCGTGGGAGGGGGCTTCCCTTACCTACTAGGTAGGGCCCACCCACCTGTGAGTGAACGTGGTTGCACACGCCTTTAAACCATGGCTGAGGCAGGAGGATCACAAATTCCAGCCCAACCTGGACAATTTATTATTCTTGTTTATTTTGTTGGTTTTCCTTTTTTCTTCGTTTGTTCATTCATTCATTCGTTTGTTTTTTGAGACAAGGTCTCACTTTGTGATGCAGGCTTGCCTCGAACTCACAATGTAGCCCAGGCAAAGCCCTCTGGCTCAGGAGGCTTCTGCCTTTCAAGCGGCTTGTCCTTGGTTAGGGGACAAAGGGCCACTTTCCCCTTCCAGGATGAGGGTGGGTCTGCCTCCTCTCTGCTCTTCCTGCAGCCCTAACTGCTGGAGTGAATGGGGAGGTCTCTGCTGATAAACCTCCACTGATACTCTTTGGTACCTGGTTTGCAGGTAGAAAGATTGGCATCCAGGTCTGCTTACCAAGAAAGCTGTACACCACACACTGCAGTCTGTTTTATTCAACACTGTGGTTGAACCTAGGGCCTGCACATGAGTCACATCCCCAGCCCTTTTGGGGGCTTTTGTTTTTGTTTTTGTCTTTTTGAGACAACGTCTCCCTATGCAGTTCAGGTTGACCTTATGCTCACTTTGTAGCCCAGGTTGGTCTCGAATTTGCCACGATCATTCTGCCTCACCTTTCCAAGTGCTAGCCACGAGCTGGGATTACAGGCATGTACCACCATGTATTTTTTTTTTTAATAGGGACAGAGTCTCTAGGTGGCTGAATTTCCCAGACTAAGCTAGAATTTGAGATCTTCCTGCCTCAGCCTTCCAGAGTCTGACAGAACAAATCTAGGCAGCTTCAAAGCCAAGGTCCCATCCTGAGCCCCAAAGTGGATTCAGAGTGCAGGCCATGAAGACACAGCCTCCCAGATCCCCTTCGGGCTAAGGATGAAGTGGAACCCTCAGTGGGGGCTAGCCGCAGGGTTAGTAACCCTTGAGCTTATAAATAAGGGGAGATGGCCCTAGGAGAAAATGTTTCAGTCTGCTAATTCCTGCTTTGCCAATGGAGGTCAAAAAGTAGCAAGAAGCCAGGCACGGTTCTAGCCTCACTGGGAGGCTGAGGCAGGAGGATTGCATACTGAAGAGCCGCTGGGTAATGCAGTGAACCAGGGAGGCCCTGTTTCAAAATTTAGAAAACAGGGCATGACTGGGGCTTGGGCCCCTCATGAAGTCTGGAAAAAACAAAGCTGATGCCACAATGTCCGAGCACAGATCAGAAAGTGCATATCCAGACCTGGGGCCAGGGCGGCTCCTAGGAGTTTTGTGCCCACCTCAGGGGATGTGCACCTTGGCACCTCAGCACAGATCCACACCCCAGTCCTTTTGTATTTTTCATTTTGATACAGGCCCTCGCTAAGCCTCCAAGTTGCTCAGGCTGGGCATTCACTTGCCACCCTCCTGCCTCAGCCTCCTGATTGCTGGGGTGACAGGTGTACACTACCGAACCCAGCTCAGTTTTCCTAGATAACTTCAAAGAGAGGCCTAATGATGCAGGCCCGTCATCCCAGCACTCAGGAGGCTGAGGCAAGAAAATCGCTTTGAGTTCCAGGTCAACCTGGGCCACACAGCTCTAAAGGCACAAGGACTGAAGGGGAAATTTGTACTTCATTCTGTGCTTATACTTAGGCAGCCACAGAGTAAAGAGAGCTGCCCAGGAGGGTTTTTCTGTGTAGTGCAGGCTGCTCTTAAGTTCAATATGTAGCCCAGGCTGACCTGGAACTCATGGCAATCCTCCTGCCTCAGCCTCAAGAATGCTGGGATCACAGGTGTGAGCCACCATGCCTAGCTCAACCTTGATATTATCTTTTACCTTGATATTATCTTGATATTATCCTGTTTTGTTTTGTTTTGTTTTGTTTTGTTTTTGTCATTTGAAACAGGGTCTCACTATGCAGTTCAGGCTGACCTTGAGTTCACTTTGTAACCCAGGCTGGTCTCAAATTCAAAATAATTCTCCTGCCTCAACCTCCCGAGTGCTGGGATTATAGGCATGTACCAGTATACCCAGCTCAATTTTGATATTTTCAACACCCTATGGGTTTGTTGCTACACAGTCCTGTGGTTATACAGCCCAAGAGCTTGTCTAGTGTACCCAAGCTGTGAATAATATAAAGCCATGAAAAATAATGAGCCAGCCATGTGGATGCAGGCTTGCAAATTATGAAGGGCAGTACAAGCTGAGGCCAGTGCATCTGGCATTTCAGATACACTTGGGTCACCCGGTTAGACCCTGGTGTCACGGGCAGTGGAACATGAGTTGTTCTCAGTGGTCACTGAAAGGGTTTTGGCCCAGACAGGACACTGTAGCCAGGAAAGCCTCAACCGGAAGCAGGAAGCCCCTATCTCCCCCCCCCCCGCCCCTAGGAATTTACCTGTGATGCCATCTTCCTGCCCCTGGAAATTTACCTATGGCGCCAAACCTAGGACCAATGGGCTACCTGTGCATCTCTAATGCCCTCCTTAGGTTCCACCCCAAACCAAGGCTACTTATGTGCCTCACTCCACGCTGCGGGAGAGGTCGCCCGGACTCCAGCAGTGGGGGGTGCTCTCTCTCTCTGTGTTCTCAGAATAAAGGCCTCTTTTGTTTTATACTTCTCATCTTTTGGAAATAATCCTATCAGTCACAATAGAATCAGATGGGAGTATGGCAGGATCTTGAAACTCATTTGTTTATGCATTTTTATTGATTTATTCTGTGAAGGTCCCACTGTGTAGCCCAGGCAGCTTGTAATTTGGTGAGGATCCCAGGCTGTCCAGGACCTGAGGATCCTACTGCCTCAGCCTCCTAAGAGCCCGAATCACAGGTGTGCCTCATTCCACCTGCGAGGACTGCCAGTGAACTTCACCTTTGGATGGTGTCTAAACTGCTGCCATTTCCTAGAGTTAACCAGGGAAGGGGGGAGAACCTTTGGGGCCCTAGGTAACCTTCAGACTCTCCTCCCTCCCTGGGCTGGTTGGAATTTTTTGCGTCAGCACACAAAGGTTCCAGTGGCTGAGGCAGGACAGAACCATGGACTTCTTCAGGGTTACCACAAAATCTGGGAGGAAAAAGAGAATCTGCCCGCGCCCCATGAGGGCCCGAGTTCCACTGTGACTGGGATGGAGGCTGAGGCTTCTGCCCAGCCATCTGTGCTGTTTCTTTTTCTAATTTTTATTTTGAGACCGGGTCTCACTATGTGGCCCAAACTGGTCTCAGATTTCTGGTGATCTTCCTGCCTCAGCTTCCTGGAATTATAGGTACTCAAGGCCAGCCCAGACCACCTGGTAAGACTCTGCCTCAGGAAACAAAAACAAAAAAATAAACGGAAGGATGAGCAGGTGTCCCTTCCCAAAGCAGAGCCCCCAGCTGGGCCCTGACCAAGCACCCTCAGACCTACAAAAGTGACTGTAAAGGAGACCAAGATCGTAAAATTGGAGACCAGTCAGCCAATAGCACATGTCTGTCCTCCCAGTAATCAGAGAGACTGAGGCAGGAGGATCACAAGTCTAGCCCAGCCTGGAGAACTTAGTGACGGAGATC